ACACTCATTCAGCTTAAACACTGGATGCTCGAATAGTTAAAACTTCATTATAAAGCATACCTAAATTATGTGATCTTTTATTAGTTGCATTAAAAAAATTGAATTCCTAACTTAGTTGACTACAAAGTTGTCTTTTTTTCACAAACTTTTCTGACTTTTCAGCCATCGATACTGATGATTTTTCTAAACTGTCATTACTATTGTTAAGCTTATCATTAATCATAATATTATTAAGGTTATCATAGTCATTCATTTTATCTCATATTTTTGGTATATTTTCAAATATGGGATAAAGCCTCTCAGTTAATTCAACAACTATATTTATCATCTCTGTTTTAGATGGTATGCAAAATAAGTTTTTATACATATCACTTATATTTCTTTTTTTGGAATATCCTTTCAACTAGAGCATTCTTAAGACTTTTTGCTTAATAGCAATCTTGAACATCAAGTTCTTTATTAATAAACTTTATTGTGTCATGAGCTGTTAATGTTGGATAACTAATTTTATTTTCATCATCAAAAATGTCAAAATCAATGTCAATACTTTCTTCATTAAAAATCTGATTATTTTCAACTTTCTTTTTATAAATAACATCAATTACTGCTAAATGTATTGCATGGGCAAAACAAAGTTAATATTCAGCAGGAGAAATATTTCATAACTTTTCCATAATGAAATACCATCATTTGAAAGTCTAACATTAAACTTGTCTAATTTTTTGATAAGTAGTTTAAGGCAATTGTTTGCATTAAACAATCTAATTATTCTGTTATAATGTTCTTAAATCGGTTTGGAAATAATTCCAAACTGATTTAAGAGCATCATAACCTTCGACCATATAAACTTCGACCATATAAACTGTCAGTTTATATGGTCGAAGATTATAACAGTTATTAAAATTTAATCGCACTGTGATAAATTTCAAAAGCGTTGGGTTTTCTGATAGTCCGGAAAACAAAAAATTGTATTTTTGGCGGAAAAGTTGAATTAAAATCCATGTGAACCAAAAAAAAAAAAAAAAATACTAGATCTCAGAAAAAATTTCCCAGGATTTTTGAATTTTAGTTTATTATTTTTTTTCGGGAACAATCCCTAGGTATAGTTACTGATGTTATCATTTCATTTTAATGTTATCATTTTCTAAAAGGTGAAATATTCTTAATCTTCATACTCATTACTATAGCTATTTAAATATTGTTACAATGTTGCAATTCAAATTGTTATAGTACTTTTATTATTACTTTTAGTAATTTTTACGTTATTTTAGTTTATATAACAATATACATTGAATTATTTGAAAATTAAAATGGAGACTTATCTAAGCCCTTTTTTTATCATTCTTTTATCCTTTTTTTATCATGTAGAATTTTACTTACATTTAGCAAAAAAATTATCCGTCCACTCAGGAATTGAATTTTCTTTATCAAATACTTCTTTTCTATAAAAAAAATAAAAAGTTGAAATAAATACCAATAGATAGAGCAAAAAATAAGCTTGAAAATAACATATAACACTATTTTCGCAAAATATAATCTTCAAAAAAAAATCAGAAAAAATAAAAATTAAACAAAAAAATTATCCGTCCACTTAATTTAAAATTAAATTAAGGTAAGTTTGTTTAATTAAAATGTTTCAAACATTGAATATTATGTGTATTATTATTTTTATAATATTATTTTTATTACAAATTATGAAAAATGGAAATACTTAATATTTCTATACCAAACAGAAAAACAGAAAAAACTCCAGCGAATATTCGGATGACCTACGTTCGAAAGTTCTAACGCTTCATCGAGATGTGAAAAGTCAGCAAAGAATTGCAAGAATGTTGAAAATGCCAAGAACATCGGTGCAATACGTTATTAATAAGTTCAAAAGCACCAGAAGAATAAGTCATTTAGAAGGGAGAGGAAGAAAGAGAAAAACGGACGAAAGAACTGACCGGGAAATGGTGAGACGCGTCAAAAAAAATAGAAAATTATTGGCGGTGAAAGTCTCAAATGACCTGAAAGAAGAAAAAGGAGTCAAAATCACTCCACAAACTGTCCTAAATCGCCTCCATGAATCAAATTTACATGGACGAACACCACGAGCTAAGCCCTTAATCAGCGAAAAAAATAGAAAGTTGCGTCTAAAATGAGCTAAAAAGTACGTGGTTCGCCCACAAAATTTTTGAAATAATGTCCTATGGTCGGACGAAAGTAAATTTAACATGTTTGGGTGCGATGGAGTAGGGAAAGTGTGGAGAAACAAACTGTCAAACACGTGATGATGTGGGGGTGCATGAATGCTGTGGGTGTGGGAACTTTACAACTTATTGATGAAAAAATGGATCAGTATGTATATAAGATCATTCTCAGTGATAAAATAGGGCCATCATGCGATAAATTGGGCTTGGGAAGCGATGTCTTGTTCCAACAAGACAACGATCCCAAGCATAAAGCGCGTTTCATTACCGCTTTTTTGGCCGAAAGTGGCATAAATAAGTTAGAATAGGTTGCTTTATCTCCAGATTTAAACCCAATTGGACTATTATGGGCTATTTTAGAAAGAAAAATTCAAAATAGGAACCCATTGAACAAAAATGAATTGAAAAGTATAATACGGGAGGCATGGGAGGGAGTTGGCCGTAATGTAACGGAAAAATTAGTTAATTCTATGCATGGGTGTTGCATAGCTGCCATAAAATCGAAGAGAGGGCCGACAAAATACTAATTTAAATAAGATTAATTTTTAAAAGTAATTTTTCTGTTCTGGACGGATAAATTTTTTGCATTGATCTTTGCATGTTTCGATAAAATGTTGCATGATTAATATATTATCTATTTTTTGTTATTTTTTATTATATATATATTTATATTTTATTTAATTTAGATTATTTAATTTTTTGTTTTTTCGTTTTATTTTGAATATTAATTTTTTTATTGAATTTTTTCTTTTGATTTGATGTGTGGACGGATAATTTTTTTGCTCACTATATCAATTTATTTGTGAATAACTTATTACAATTTACTTTTTTTGTTATATATATTTTTTAGGTATGTTAATAATTTTCTTTTTTAAATTAGAAAAATTGTTACATGAAAGTCTAACAGATAGAATTAACATATTTGACATACTAACCTCCCCATAATCCGCTTTTTTTGGTCCTCTTTTGCTTTGTAATTGAGTATGATTTTAATGAGAAGTTGAAATTTTATTATAGCCTCAAATTTCGAAAAAAACCGAGAGAAATATTACGCAATTGTCATCTATGCATAGATGACAATTATTAAAATTATGAAAATATTACACAATTGTCATCTATGCATAAATGACAATTGCGTAATATTTCTATCGTTTTTTTATATTTCTATCATAGCCATGATAAAGATACTTAGGCTATGTGTATCAATTAGGTAAATCTGAGCATCTGACGCTGTAACAAAACAAATTTTTTTCTTTTAAGTAGATGTTAAATTCAGAATTTGTCTTTTGAAATAAATAAATGAGGTGAGGGTTTTAATAAGATCAAAGTATGCGGAAAGAGTGCGCGCATTTTTGCGTCTTACGTGTTCTGTCAGCGTGTTCTATAATAATATGGCAGTAACGTATAAGGCTGTTTGTTTTTTGCTTTACTTTTTATTTTTAAATTTATGGTTAAATAAATAGATTAAAAAAAACAAACGATAAAATACCATTCTTTTAGTTTTAATTGGATCTTTAATTGGATCTTTTTTAGTTTTAATTGGATCTATTTATTCTTTTAGAGATAAAAGCTAAATTCACATTACCTAATCGTTAAAGCTAATATTAATAAATCTAATAACAATGTGTATGTTATTAAACACAATACATTGCAATTAGGGATCGCTAGTTTACTAAAAAATTTAGTATATACTTTACCGTTTAGTATACAGTAAAGTATACTGTAAAATATAAAGTTTTCTTTTTTTGGCTAAACCGTAATACAAGCTTTTTATTTAATGTTTTTGTTTGTTTTTTTTATTACCATTGGTAACACATTCTAACTAGATATGTAAAAAAGTTGAGGTATTTGATCAAAATCAGCAACTATTTGAAAATGGATTGTTATCTTGCTACATCAAAAAAACCAAATAAAAATAAAAACACTTTAATCATGATAAGTCATACAATAAATATGGTATAGTAGTTTAATTCATTAAGATAATTTAATACTAATTTATTAATATGTTATTAAATTATTGAGTCATTCCGATAAAATTTCTCAAAAAAAAGTTAACTGGTATACTAAGTTTTATACTAATTTTAGTATCCTAAGTATACGGTAAAGCATACCTTACAGTTAACGATTACATATTATTGTAATCGAACCCGGCGATCCCTTGTCCACCAATTATATTGACATTTAATTATATTGACAGAAATGATCGAGGGAATTTCCCACATCAGTGAAATCATCGAGTGCTTTTCCTTACATCAGTGTAACCACCAAAAAGATCTTTCGGCAACTAAAAGTTTTATTTACCTTTGACAACAGAATATTTACAAAACATTTTCGGCGAATGATAATGTGAAATTTTTAATGATGGTCAATGTGACACCCATGTGGACCACTTAATATTAACTTTAATTACGAACATGAAAAATTAGATATGGCTATTAAATGGATAATTAAAAATATTTTTAAAATAACATTTTTTAATAAAATAAATTAATTTGAATTAAAAGGAACTATAATAATATAATAAGATAATGAGAAAAAAGTAAAATATTATTGTATTTGTTTATTATTATTTTATGCTTTTACTTTTTAGTATTATTTTATGCTTTTACTTTTTAGTATTATTTTATGCTTTTACTTTTTAGTATTTTTTTATGCTTTTACTTTTATTGGACGTTACCTTTATTGTCAATAAAGGTAACGTCCAAGAAAAGTAAAAACATAAAATAGGTGTTGGACAGAAATGATCGAGTGCGTTTCCCTATTCAGTGTAAACATGTTAATAAAGTTCTTAAAATAAATTTTGATAGAGTATATTTTTTTAAAAATGTTTTTAGAAAGTATGGAGAAAAACAAAAAAATATGTATTAATAATGAAAATTCAATCAATAACAATGTCTCTTCAAGCAGTAACAATGTTTCGTTTTCAGAAAGTTGCAATACTTCCTTTCAAAAAGGTATGTAATTTAAAAATAAATCAAAACGGAATGCTTCTGTCTTATTTTCTATTTTTATTTATGAAATATATTTAATTAAAATAGGTAAGGGCATCCATGCATACATATTATTATTTTTTAATATGTATGCATGGATGTTATTATATATCTTGTTATTTTATACAAATGAAAAACATAAGTGAATTTTAAAAATAACCTTACAAAATATTTTAAGAGCAGTTTAAAACCCTTTGATATTTTGCCTAGTTAATAAAAACCCCTTTTTATAATTCATTTAGGTAATATCAAAAACTGTTATGCAAAGAAAGAGACAAGTGGCTAATAAGTGTTTTGTTATGTGACAGTTGATACTGTGCAGGCTCATAATCAGACTTTTTTTTAGGAGAATGACAAATTTTTAACTGCGGCCACTCTTTTTTAAACAAAATTTAGAGGTCATTTTTTAAAAATATTATAGTTAAAAACAATATTTGCCGCAATTTTAATCAATGTAAGTGATGAAAAATAAATAAACAACAAACCTTTAGTCTCAATGATAAGTATTCAATTAATTACAACAATTGTTAATTGTCTAAATAAAAGGAGACAAATTCTATTCAAGTGTAGTTTTTCAAATAAAAGGAGACAAATTCTTCTCAAATGTAGTTTTTCAAACATTTTTTTCAAACATTTGGCCACTTCTAAATCAAAGTTATAATCATAATCAATGTGCATTAAAGCCAACTCAGTTTCCTGACTTTGTGTTGCTCTTTTGTATGAATGTATGCATTGAATTAAACTTCCTATTCTTTCACATTCTGCGGTATTGACTGGAAGGACACATCCAAGGGAAAAAAGAATATAAATATTTAAAAATCTATCTGGTTTACATTCTTTAAAAGCACTAGAAGCAGTTGATGGTCAATAATCTAGTTAACATCTAAGCCACATTTTTAGCCACATAACTATTTCTTCATCAAGGAAATTAAAGTTAAAGAGATCACTTTCAAAAAGTATCATTTGAATCATTTCAGATAGCTCCACTGAAGTTTTCACTCAGATAATAGAAGGGTACAAAACTTAAAAATAAATCAATTGTATTTGATGATTTAAATTTATCTTTTAACTCAAAAAATTTATGATCTATTAATGGAATGAATTAGATGATAAGAGACCTTTTGAAATATTCTTCTTCTTTGTTTCAAAGGGCGGACTAGCTCAATTAGATTGTTGCACTGTGTGTACTCGTGACATTACTGGCTTTATATTTAATTTTTTGTCAAGAATTGATGCATACTTATATATTCGTTCTGCAAACATGTTTACGTCTATTCTCATCATTTCTATTTCAGACATTTTTAACACACTTAAAAACATATAATGTAACGAGATTTTTCCTGCAACAAAAATAATTAAGTTACTAAAATTTCCAAGTTTATATTTATTTTCAAGCATACCATGCAGAAGTATACATTGTTTTCCACAATTAATAACAGCTTTCATTATACTTTTCAAAATTGGTGTATTGCATTTGATTTTTCCAGCAAGTTCTTTACTTAATTGACTGCCAACTATTAAAGAACATTATAAATTTTGATTGAATAGTATAATTTTCATCCAAATTTGTTTTTAAGCTTATTTTAACTATTAAAGAGTTTGTTAACCAAAGAAAGAAAATAGCATGCCCGATAAACATTCACCCATCCACTTGATCAAAAATATTTTAAAAAATCTGTTGATATAATAATTTGTTTTGTGATGTATTGAATTTTGATTTCAGATGACATCTTTATTATATTTTGCTCAACAGTTTTTATGTCAAAAGTCTTTATGTTTTTTTTTCAACAGTCTTTATGTTCAACAATCTTTATGTTCAACAACTTTTGCTCAACAGTCTTTATGTTCATAGTAAATGCAATGACATTTCCAATGTCAAAAAAATGAGTGATCTTTACACCTGATATCATTTCCAAGCATTCTTCAACTATTTGAATGTCATTTTGTTGATGATTACTGGTCACAATAAACTCTGTAGGCAATAATTCTTCTGACTTTTTTTCCTGTGAAGTTTGTTAAAATTGCCTGCATTTTCAGTGAATAAGTCAGAGGAAATAGTTTTTAAAAGATGTTGACATATTGTTATGAAATATTACTTGTGATTGTTCTTGTACAAGTTCTATTGAAGACTTGCTCATGTTTTCATTTTTCATTGGACTGTCTTTTTTATAAAAATAAGATGTTAATTTCACACATTCTTATGGAGAAGGTTTTAACTTTTTTAGATTTTTAATGCGTTTTTTCTCAGCCCTACTTTTTCTTTTTTAATTCATATTAAACTAAATAATTTATAGGAATAAAAAAATACATATAAGTATTAATATAAAAAAAAAATAAAAACATAATGCTTGAAAAAAGTACTTAATTTTTGTGCAATAAAACAAAAGTAAAACGTTGTGTTTTTATGTTTTCCTTTTATAGCTGCACTATATTCAATCTTACTTAATGTTTTACATTTTATTGCTGTGCTATATTGACTTTTTTAAAACCAGTTTTATTGGTTAGCGTTAGAAAAGACAACTTAAAAGCTTTCCTGCATTAATGTTGCTATGCAATATAATTTAATTGTTGTTTTTGCAAATTATTGTGGTTTAATAGTTTGCCGAACTAAGAATTTTAAAGAAGCTTAAGGCAACACTACTTTTAATAAAAAAAAAGTAAAACCATAAATTTGGTTAAGTTTTGAAACCGGGCTATTTTTTCAAACAGAGGGTGACAGCCACCCTACTCACCCTACTCACCCCCTCTAGTTACAAGCCTGCTGTGTCAAAAATACTGGAATTACAAACAAAAATTATATGTGCACAGCTCAATTTAACCGTTGGGCATTGGTCATTGTCTGGCTAAAACCTCAGATTGTCTGTTCAATTTACAAAGTAGTCGGACATATTGACCGACGTGAATTAAATTCTACAAAATGAAGTTTGGACAGGAATGGCATGCGATCAAATGCTTTTGCTGACCACGCAAATGATTTTTTGTTTACAAATTGACTGCGACTGTTTATATGTTTTGATGATTTAAATGTTTTAGAAATGCGCTGAAAAAACCTAAACTTAAACTAGGGAAAAAATTTAAAAAACTAAAGAATAAGCAAAATAATTTCTTACGAAAAAGAAAATAAATTTGCTTTAAAATAAAACTAAAAAAATTCAAAGTAGAAATTACTTTTTACTTATTGCGTTTATTTTCAAACGATCATTATAATTAATTTTTAATTTGATTTAAAGCCTTCGTGTAAAATAAAAACTTCAAAAAAAAAAAGATCAACAATTAAAAGTTATTTGCAACATAATGATTTTTTTAAATTTAAAACATCAAAACAGCTGTTGTCAAATTGTATAGAAAAAAAAAAGGCGTTGTCAGTGTGAAATTTTAAGTCTATTTAAAAAAATGTACAATATTAAATTGAAACTATTTTATATAAAAATAAAAATCTACAATAAATTATTCTAAATAATAAGAAAAGAAACTACAGCTGCAGTCGTGTGCAGTAAAATAGCAGTGCGTATTTTATTTTTCTATCAACAAACTTTGAACATCAAAATATATTTTTTTATTGTTTGTTTTTTATTTTTATTGTTCATAAACTAAATGTTGTGTTTATAATAGTATAAAAAAAAAAAATTAAGAAAGATAATTGCAACAGTGTATGGTTTTAAATTTTAATATTATCAATTGAAGGTCATTCGTATTTTTTTTTTAGACTGTGCAATAAAATAGTAGTGAAAATCATTTTTTATGAAAAGGTCAAAAATTAATAAAATTTTATTACAAAAAATTTTTTTTTTTGAAGCTCTACATTAGTATTTTGTGGCATGACCTTTATTTGTAATAACCGCCAAGCATCTTCGTTGCATGGAATTAATAAGATTCTGACACCGTTTGACAGATATATTTTGCCATGCTGACTGTACTACGTCCCACAATTGATTACAACCTCTTGGATTATTTTCAGAAACTCCTTGTTTAACATCAATTCACAAGTTTTCAATCGGATTGACGTTGGGGGATTGTGCTGTGTACTCTATAACATTAATTTTGTTCTCATTAAACCGCGATTTGGCTAACTTGCTTGTATGTTTGGGATCATTATTCTTCTGAACAAAAATTTTAACGGTATTTCTTCTTCAGCATAAGACACATGTTTGACGGTCTTTAATGTAAATTGTGGCTTATAAGCTGCACCCGTTGGTCTTCTAACATACTGTTTACGAACATAGAAACCAAAAAATTTTAATTTTGCATTCATCAGTCCACAAAACATTTTTCCATTTTTTCTTTAGGCCAAGAAGCATGCATACATGCAAATTTTAAACAATTTTTGATGTCTTTTACTCAAAAGTGGCACTTTTCTAAATGTTCTTGCATTTAAATTGGCATGTGTTAATCGTCTTCAAATAGTTGAGGTATTAACATTTAATTCTAGCCTTTTTTTAATTTTTCTAAAAGTAATAAATGACTCCTTTTTCGCTAACGATACAATTCGACTATTTTCTATAGTGGTAGTTGATCTTTTATTTCCATGTTTTTCTGGTTAGGGTATCCATTTTAAAGCATTAAAAATCATTGTTGGTAAGCATCTAACCAGTTCTTATATTTGTTTGTAGGCTTTACCATGATTTTTAAGATTTATAATTTAATTACAAACCTCTTCAGTATAATGCTTAGAGCGCCCCATGTTTCTCTAAATTTTCAAAATTTTAGTAAGTGTATAAATTTATCTAATATTAAAATTAATTACTTATATTGCTTACTATTAAGAACTAATAATAATTAGAATTTAATAAGTACAGCAAATATTACACAAAAACTAATTTTTCACTACTATTTTATTGCAGTCTAAAAAAAAATACGAATGTCCTTCAATCGATAAAATCGAAATTTAAAACCATGCAGTGCTGCAATTATCTTTCTTTAATTTTTTTTATACTATTATAATCACAACATTTAGTTTATGAACAATAACGATAAAAAACAAACAATAGAAAAATATATTTTGATGTTCAAAGTTTGTTGATAGAAAAATAAAATGCGCACTACTATTTTACTGCACACGACTGTACACTACACAAACATTAAATAAACTGAATAACATGACAAAAATTTTGATTGCATAATTTGATTCCATATAACCGTAAAAATTATATTTTAAAAATTTAATCGAACAATGTCTGAACCAAACAAGTTTTGATCAGACTATTTGTCCGGGACTTTAAAAAAAAAAAAAATTGAGCCCTGTATGTGTTGATTGCTTTTTTCAATTTTTGCTAATGAATTTTGTATCATTTATATCTTATCAAAGAAAGATTAAGAAAGATGTCTTAATGGAGATAGGCGATGAATGACTGTTTTGTGGTGTATGTGACATTTGATGCCATATCAAATGCACAAAATTCTAATTGATGTCATGGAAAACAGGTATCAGTTAAGTTAAGATTAGTTTCCATAATGCTATTTTTTTATTTAAATATGACATTCTAGAAGGGTTGCAATGCCTTTTTGCAACCAGGCACCGTTCTTAGCATTATCTTGTTTTGCAGATCAGAAAAAAATATTTTTATAATACTATTGTATTAGTAATATGTTGATAATTTAGTTTTAAATAATTATACATCTATGATACATCCAATAATAATGTTTTTAATGATGTAACATATTTGCAACAACAAATTTTAATATTAACTTTGCTATACATTTTTTTCTTTTATTCTTTCTTAACAGTGCTTAAAGGCCCTATTTGTATTTTTGCAGTGAAACTGAAGGATTCCTTGCAAAAATACAAAGAATGTTTTACCAAATCTCTTGCAGTAAACAATTATGTTTGAAGTAGATTGGCTATGGTTTATGTTAAAAATGATTTGATTGCAAGATAACTTGTAATGAAGAATACAAGTTATAAAAATTATGCATAAATTAAATTAACAAAATTTCAACTTTAACATTTAAAAAACAGCAAAGAGAAAGTTTTGACAATACTTACAAACTTTTAAAGTTTAAAAAAATATATTACTTTAAACAGGTATCTGCGGTAGTGGTGTAGTGGTAGAGCGCTCGCTTCATAAACGAGTGGTTCCGAGTTCAATCCCCACCACGTCCCTGGTAGTACCGCGCTCAACTCGTTTCTCCGCGCAGCGGCCTTGTTCGTCAAGGTTCGTGTTTCGGAGTTATAGAGTTGAGAGAGGGTTATAGCCACAAATAAGTAGCCTCCTCGTCTGTAGTGGCCTTCTCGGCCTTGAGGAGGTGAATTAAAATAAAAAAAAAAAAAAAAAAATCTGCAAAAAAATAACAAGATAAAATTTACAGTAGCTGCAAGGAACCCAAATTTTTTATATTTTTTAATTTTTATTCACCCTTTTAAGGCAGAGAAGGCCACTACAGATGAGGAAGCTACTTAATTGAGGTTATCACCCTCTCTCAACTCTATAACTCTGAACTCTGAACATGAACTTTGATGATCAAGGCCGCTGTGCGGAAAAACAAGTTACTTAAAGTTAACGCAATTAAATCCAAATTATTGTTTCATCATGGTTGAATTGTAAAAACTTACTTGACTAGACCACCCTTAACATCGAAGTAATTTAAACAAAATTACAACCTCCCTTTTAGTTTAAACTTTATTCAGGCCTAAATTTTCTGCTTTAGCCTTTTTGTTAAACATAGAGCATATGATTCATTTTGCTTTTTCAAAAAACAGAGCAAATGACAATAGATGCTTAATATTTTCCTAAGAAGTAATTTCTTATCTGAAATCTTAATTTAAAAATTAAAATTTAAAAAAAATCTCAAGTTGGATTTTAATTATGTTTTTAGAGTTTTATTATATTTTTGTTTATTTATATATTATTTATATATATTTTTGTTTTTCATATTTTTGTTGTATTTCATATTTTTTTCGTAAATGACTTTTTTATTTTGAAAGTTTGTTTGTTTAATTTTTTAGTCACAATTTCAACAATTTCATAATGATTTGGTAATTAATAGTTCATAATAGTTCATAAATAGGTCATAAATATTTCTCAATCATTTGGTAATAAATATTTTATAATAAATTGACATCTATTTTATAAACATAATTACTTGATTGAATTTGCTCAAAAATTTCAAAAGAAACAATGCCCAGTACTTTTAAACAGGAACAGCACTATAAGAATTGTGTCTAACAATTAGAGACCTTTTAAAAAAATTATAAATACTATAAAATCATTTTATTGTAATCATCTTTGTATTATCTTCTTAACAGTTGGTAATACAGTTTATTTTTAAACATTTTTCCAATGTTTTTATTAACTCGTTCTCTCTGTCTGTCTGTTTGTTTGTTTGTTTGTTTGTCTGTGAGCAGCAAATATTGCAATCAATTTTTGAGTCACTTCCTGATCATAGATTTTCTTCAAATTTTGCATACATACTCTTGCTTGATGACATAACAATATTCAATAATTAGTTTTGTAATATGTCAATTAATTTAATTCTTTTTTTTAAATGGAAAAAAGAATAAAAATTTTATAAATAAGTATATTGATTGTTTTCATACTAATATGCGCATTTAGCATATTTGGATAAGGCGTTGACTTTGTAAACAAAATGTCTTTGATTCGATACCCACATCTTCCTAAACATTTTTGTTTTTTACACAATCATACAGCCGAATGTCAATAAAATAAAACAGTAATATAAGAAAAAATTGATTGCAAAATTTGTGTTTTAATAACATATAAAGCATTGGGTTTTATTTGTTTATACTTATATTGCCTTAAGTCTGATTGCTGTCTGAACTATTCAGATTAAATTATGACAAAAATAATTTTATTCAAAAAAAGTAAAACGCCGTTGTTATTTATGTTTTATAACTTATGGACAACATTTAATGTTGCTGAAACAATTTAAAACATTTAAATATTTTTAAATGTTTACTAATAAAAGTGGTAGCAAATTTTTATGAAAATCAAAGGGTATTGTATTAAAAAAAAAATGGAGTAGTGTTTTATTTTTAATTTTGCTTTTTTATAATTAAATTATAAAAAAAGCAAAATTAGTTTTTTTCTAACTTTAGCTTGAAATTGATAAAGGCAGTTGTTTGAAAAGCATGCCCATAAACATGTTTAGATATGTTAAAAATATTTTCATTAAAAAAGTTCAGATTTAGTTCATGATTAAAATATTTTTTATTTAAATTAATAGACTATTCTACAGCTTGTGGTCTGGACAACGTACCTGTTATAGTCTTGCAGAAAATTTCTTCGGAGCTGTTGTCTATACTTTCAAAACTATTTAACAAATGCTTTTAAGCAGCATCTGTTATGCCTGTTTTCAAAAAATCTGGATAGCTATCTGACTCGTATAAGTACCATCCCATTAGTCTCCTTGCTATCACAAGCAAGATTTTTGAGTCTTCAATGAACAAACACTTCTCTTTAGAGCAATGTTAAAATTGTAAATCTTTTATCATGAATCTAATAACTTACTTTCTGATCATCAATATGGATTTCGATCTTCTCGTTCTACTGCTGATTTGTAAACAGTTATTACTAATAGGTTTTATTGTGCATTAGATAAATGTGGAGAGGCTAAAGCTCTCACTCTCGACATTTCTAAAGCTTTTGATAAAAATTGGCATGCTGTTCTTCTCCACGAGCCCTCCTCTTATGGTGTATCTGGTAAAATCTTAAAGAATATTGAATCCTTCCTTACCAATTGTAGTATAAAAGTTGTCCTTGATAGACAGCACTCTTCTTCATATCCTGTAACGTCAGGGGTTTCTCAAGGTTCTATCCTTGGCCCTAAACTCTTTTTAATTTACATGATCGATCTTCCTAAAATTCTAACATCTAAGGTGACATTGTTCGCTGATGGTACTACCATTTATTCTTGTCATGATAAGAAGCCAACACTCTCTGATTGCTTGGAGACAGCATTTGAACTTGAAATAGATTTCACTTCTGTTACAGCATGGGGCTTCTAGTGGCTGAACTTTAACTCAGATAAAGCTCAATTTTGTCTGCTAATCGTTATCACAATAATTTAGATCTTCCTATATTTATGAATAGTAATGTACTCAATGAGTCATCTACCCTTTATGTTCTAGGATTAACTCTTACTTCTCATTTTTCTTGGAAACCATATATCAAGTTGTTTGTAAAATTAGCATCTGCTAAGGTTGCATCACTTAATTCTTTTTATGGAATCAGGATTAAGATATCTTTTAAATGATATATAACAAGCTGTAATATATATCTTGTAAAAATCACTTACCTCTGCAAATTTAGTTTAGGATTGTTCTTATATATTTTTCATGCCAATAATTATCACAATTTACAATTTTAACATAGCTCTAAAGATTTGTTTAAATATTGTATTATTGTTAATTTATATTTTGAGCATATATTTATTTGTATTTTTAGATATCGCTTATCGTTCGTTTTTAGATGTCACTTTACCTCCCTATCATAAAATTTTGCTTACATTTAAAAGCACTGACCAATTATTGCGTATTCCCTTGGAGCAAAGTTATGATGATTTTTTGATCAATGTTGAAGAAGTTTATCCTGATCTTGATAAGGTAGAGTTTATGCCTTAAAACTTATTAATGAGTTGTTAATGAGTTTTAATGTGTGTTGAAAATCTTACGAATTAAAACATATATGAAATAATTAAAAATCTTAGGATTTTTAACTATTTCATAAATATATTTTAATTTTTATTTTCAAACATATTCACAGCCTTTCACTTTGGTCAATGCTGACTTTTTAACTTTCAATGAAGAAAAATTTAATGAAGTAATGACTTCAGGAGCACCAGAAACATGGTTATTGGTAAGTTTTTTTTTTTTTAAGTTCAAAGTAGAACAGGCCTTGTTAAGAAGCGTTATACTATTTGAATTTTATGTATGTACATCACATACATGATTTCACATACGCGTTTTGCAATTTACGTAACGCTAAAACTTTTTTCAATTAGTTTATTTTTACATTATTTATTAGAACAGGTTAAGCAAAAAACATTAAGCTGTAATTAATTCTTTTAAAAAATATCTGTGGAATATTTTTTTATTAGATAAAAAAACAGATAAATAAACTTTTTTTTATTTTTCATTTAAAAAAAAATGTTGTCATTTTATTTTATTAAATTAAAATTAAATTTATTGTTAAATATAATAAAAAACAAAATTTATTTTGTTAAATTTATTAAAATTCTTTTGAAAATTTTAAAATGCTTTACATTATTTATTTAGTTTATTACTTTAGTTTTACATTACTTTAGTTTTACAATTTTTTTCTGCTAAATTTTCAAACTATGTTAAAGTAAAAAGGAAAAATTTAATAAATTTTACTTAAGTTACTTTAAAATGTTCGTGTTACATATAACTTTATTTTACATTTCAGTTTTGAAATTGCATTTTAAGTAAAGTTTTTTCTTTATAATTAATTTTTTGAATTGATTATAGTCTGAACAACAAAAAAAAAAAAGATTAACTAGTTTATGAGTTGTATGCGAAGATTTTGAATAACAAAGCAGAAAAGCCGTCATCTTCATTTAATTAAAAATTTTATTTTGTCAAAAGCCAGTTGAAATTAAATGTTTTAGGTAGCGCGAATGTTTTTTATAAAGGGGAAAACCCAATCTAATTGTATAGTTGTGTAAACCGTTAAAAAAACTTTAGTACTCAGTGATTTACAAGTTATTCAAATTCTTTTATTTGAAGTTAGCATGATTTTATAAGCGTATTATGTCCAAACAAGAGCTTTAGGTATTATAATTTTTTTTGCTTCAGATTTTTTTTAAATTAGAAGAAACTTTTCTTTTTTATATATAATTTTCAAAACCTTTTTGCTACCCCTTATAGTGAATCTAAAGAACACCATTTTGGAGTCTTTAGATCACTTTCGCTCATCGGCGTTCACATGAATTTAATTGAAATCTTTTGAAAAAGTGCCTCAATTTACTATAGATCCTAGTTCTAATCAGTCCTGATGCATATTAACTGTATACAATTGTCGATATACAATATTTCTAATAATTTCCACAAAAAAATATTAGAATTCCAACTAAGAAAGCGCATATAATTAATAAAAAGCGCCAATAAACGATCAGAACAAATCATATTGTTAAACTATGATTTCCATTTTACCTAAAAAATGCATTTATTAAAGTTCTTATTCGAATTTGGAAAGGCGATTAATAATTTAAGAAAATTTGAAAAAAAAAATTTTTTTCGGTCTGGATTTTTTTGTTATAAACATATTTTATGATATCGCAAATTTTATCATTTTAACTTTTTTTGTTCTTTCATAATTCACAGACCTGACCATTTAACGGAAATATGTTGTAGTCAACAAAATATCATACAGGCGCTATAATGTTTTAAAATTGCCTTAACTACATCGAGTAAGTACATTTAAATCTTTTTAAGAAATTCAACCATAAACAAGTGTTCCCTCATTAAAAAAAAGTATTAACTATAAAATAAATGTTTTAAAGAAAGAAAAAAGTTTTAATGATATAAAAGAGTATTTTATAAAAAGTATAGCATTATGAAAAGCATTTCTTAAAAATGTGCGTTAATTTTAAAATCAACCAATAAAAAATTTTTATTGGTTAATTTTAAAATTAATGCCTGTTTTTACGGTCCATTAGTAACGTTTTTCATAATGCTAAACTTTTAATACGTTACGTTTTTATAAAGTTATTTGTCACGTTTTTATTTAGTTATTTAAGTTTTAAATATTATTTGAACATTCACTTTATTCTTCTAGATATTTTTCTTCTTCAATTAAAATTTGGGATTACTTATGTTGCTTGAACAATGAAGGAATTTTAAAAGTTTTAAGTGCGCTATAAAGGTAATAACACTATTATAGTGTTATTACTTTTGTAATGCAGTTAGTGATAAGAGTGTTATTACTTTTGTAATCGTAAGTTTATTGTTTTATTTTTTATTTTTTCGCTTACAAATTTAAGTTGATTCGCCCCTTAAAAACAAGGAACACAGTTTTGTATAAACTAAAATTTTAAATACTAGATATTTTTCCAGATTTTGTGTTTCGCATTCGCTTAATTCAACCCTTGCTATTACATTATTTTTGTTGTTACATTAAAATTATACAAATATATTTTACAAACACATTGCAATTTAAGTTCTTTTCTTTATTCCTCTTAAAAAAAAAGTTAAGAAAAGAAAAATCATTCTTTTTATTTGTAGACTTCAAACTGTTTTTTTTTTTTTTGCTTCGCCTTATCTAATTTTGTTGCTGAATGTAACAACCACTCTAAAGAAACAAAAATAAAAACAGTACACAAATAATTTAAACTATTAATGTGTTTTTATTTTTTACTATTTTAATCTCTAATCTTCTTTGTTTTTTTTTTTTTGAAACTTTTTCAGCATTGATTATTATAAAACTTGCGAACCGCCGTGTTCTAGTTGTCTAAAATAAGATACTCGCGTGTGGTCATACAAGACAAAAAACCACACGCCTTTTCTAGGAAGGCTAATGTTTTCAGGCCTTGTTATGAGATTTTGATGCGTAACAGAACAGCGCAACCTAAATTAATGTAACTTTATTAAAAAAAGATATTTACATCGTTAAAAGTTTTTTTTCTTTAAAACATTCTTTTTACAGTTATTTTTTTAAAATGAGTGGACACTTGTTTATGGTTGATTTTTTTAAAGGGATTAAAGTGCACTTTTAAACACATAGATTGGGTTTTCCCCTTTTTGAAAAACCTTTGTGTTTAACTGGCTTTTGAATAAATTAAAAATAGTAAATAAGATTAGTAAACGAAGTAAACGAAGATTACCGCTTTTCGGCTTTGTTTTCTTTTATTTCCATTAAAATATTTTATTTTTATGTACCGTGAAACCTAAATTATTTTTACTATTTCTTACTAAATCCAAAAAGAAAAATAGTATTTTCGGTTATAAGATGTTATTAGCAGAACTTGTTTTTAACAATTATCAATATAATTTTAAAATTTATGTATCTATAGCACAAGTATAAGTTTTGTTTTTAAAACAAAATAAAAATAAGTTGGGCTTTTAAAGAGTTTATTTATTGATTGCGTTATTTTTAATCGGTTTAAAATTTGGTTCGTTTTATAAAAAAAGTTCTATTGCATAAAACTTAACGGCAAAGGAAAAACCCAATCAACATTTAAACTTGAGTGTGAAAAAACTTTTTTGTATGACGTCATTTATTAACTACAAAAACGCATTATTTAGACCAGTATTTGGAACTGGAACTTACCTGAAACTTATTTAAAATTAAAATGAAGTTATATGTAATGCGAGCATTTTAAAGTTGAAAATTAAATTTATTAATTTTTTTTTTTTACTTAAACATATATTTTGGAAATTTTATCAGTAAAAAAAAATTGTAAAACAAGTTTTTAAATTTTTAAAAGTATTTTATTTAAATTTCATCAAATAAATTACTAAAACTATGAATAATAATAAAATTAACTTAAATTTAATAAAATAAATTATAAATATTAAAAAAAAAAAAAAGGAAAATAGAAAAAAAAAATTTAAACTATTTTCTTATATCTATTAAGAAAAAAAATATTCCACAAACGTTTTTTTTAAAACAATTAATTACAGTTTAATGTTTTCCGCTTAATCTGTTTTAAATGACTGTTTAAAATAAACTCATTTAAAAATTTTTTGCGTACCGTAAATTGCAAAACACGCACGTAAAATTGTGAATACGTACGTAAAACTCAAATCGGGAAACGCTTCTTAACAAGGCCTGCGTTTTTATATTAACAAAAGGCTTTTAAATTAAAGTATCATTGAAAGTTTTATAGTTTTTTATTTCATAAGATTTTTTTTATAAGTAAAAATATAAAAAGTAAAAATTAAAAAAAGATTAAATTTTATAAGCAATGACTTTAAACAGCGAAAGTCCCTTTAATAAATTTTATGTAAGAATCATTAAAGTTTTTATTGAGAAGAAAAAAAAAAAACAAACTTTTTTGAAAGTCTTTTGAATTAAATAACTTTGATCTTTACTTACGTTTTTATAACGCATTTAAGTAAAGTAACAAATCACTTCAAATGACTTTTTATAAAAATATTAATGAATAATATATATTTTTTTATATTTATTTTTTATTATAAATGAAAAAAAATTATATCAATTTTTTAAATAAACGATTTAATTATTTTGTCTTTTATGAGAAGAATTGCTAAAAATATTTTTTTGAACTTTTAAATGTGTGCGTTTATTAAACAATCGTCAGTTGTAAGTTGTTACTTTATTTAAAAAGGGTTTCACATAATATTATATTATAAAAACATTAATAAAGATAAACAATTCAAATTAACAATTCCAAACGTAATTTAGATAATCTTATCGTTATAGTTTATAATTTATTTCAGTTAAGTTTTAATTTTATTTTTGCTATTTTAGTTTTAGTCAAGTTATTTTGATTTTGTTTTTGTTATTTTTTTTTATGAAGATTAATTTGCTTCTTTAGCGATAAGTTTTTTTTTAAGTTTCTTTATAGTTAAGTTAAAATTTAATTCAATTTTTTAGCGCGTTTTTGAAACATATACAAATTTTCAAAACATTTTAACTGCTATGGTCAAGTTAATTAAAATCAAATAGTATTTGCGTGGTCATGTTATGGTGTGAAATTGCATGCCTTCCTGGCCATGCCTGCAACACCACAATCTAAAATCATAATCATCTGCTTTTACAGTGAATAATTTTTTTATGCAAAGTTGAATTATTTCTCTGAGCTTCATCCATTTATCTGCAAAAGTCTATTTGTCTTCATGATTGGAGATACAATCAGAAAATAAAATAAATAA